TATCAAACACGAAAAAGAAGGAAATATAAAGACGATAGATGTTTGAAAGGAAACAAGAAGCATACCACACCAGAGCACCCACCAACCACCCACTATCCCATCTTCGATTGGGCCGACTCGGAAAAGGGAGGAACATTGGGAACTCCCCGAACAACTGGGTACAAGAACGTTCGAGTAGCGATTCCAGTAACAGCCATCAGGACCGAAGCACAGCGCAAGACCAACTGTGAGTGAGTGAATAAGTGAGCGACTGAGCGAGTGAGTGAGTAAGTGAGTGAGTGAGTGAGTGAGCGAGTGAGTGAGTGAAAGAAAGAGTGAGTGAGTGAAAGAAAGAGTGAGTGAACGAGTGAGTGGGTGAGTGAGCGAGTGAGTGAGTGACTGAATAAGTGAGTCAGAGGGTGAGTGAGTGAGTGAGTGAGTGAGTGAGTGAGTGAGTGAGTGAGTGAGTGAGTGAGCAAGTGAGCGAATGAGAAAATGAGTGAGTGAGTGAGTCAGTCAGTCAGTCAGTCAGTCAGTCAGTGAGTCAGTCAGTGAGTCAGTCAGTCAGTCAGTTAGTCGGCGAGTGAGTGAGTGATTGGATGGGTGAATGGGAGAGTGAGTGCGACTCAGAACTAATCATTAGCGTGATGGACGGACGGACCAGTATTAGTACAAACCAACAGGCCACAAATCACGTGTTCCCGCGATGCCTTGCGGTACAAGAGCCAGAGGGCGAAACCAGGAACAAAGTTCATGAGGAAAAAACCAAGCGCAAAGTTCGAGCGGACAAAACCAGGAACAACGTAGGTCTAGGTCTGCATGTAAGTCAAAGAGGTGAAGTCCTTCATGCAAGTATGACTTTTTTCTTTTTAGTTGAGGTTTTACGACGCTCGCAACTGCATAAAGTCATATGATCGCCAGAAGATTAGCGGTGTTACAAGAAAGTAACAAACATAAAACAGAAGACGCGGAGATAAGGACGATAGATGTTTGACAGGAAAGAAGGAGCAAATCACACCAGAGCACCCACCAACCACCCACTAAGTATGATAGGAAACTGAGATGGGAGATGTGTGCTCCTTGCTAATGGCGGGAGTTTGATTCACTGGTTTTACGTGTTGCTTCCCATAACTTGATTGATTGAGCGGGGGATAACATGCCACCATTGCAACGACAGAGACGTTGAAGTAAATTAATCCTTAGGAGCGGTGGGTTTGGGGGAGGAGGTGGGGTGGAGGGGGGTGGTAGGTGGAAACGCAACTTGTGGAATGAAATCCGTAGGCTAAGCATACCTTGGAGTAACTATTGATCAAGAAGCATACCGACAGGGCGATCTCGTGAGACGTGGACAGTTTTATAAACATAACGATAACGCGATCCCGTGAGAAGTGGACAGTTTTGTTAGAAACGCAAGTAAGGAGGACGGGGGCGCTATGGGAGATGAACGTTCGTCTCCTACTTTTTTCATCTGCATACCACTGTTAGGGCTAAAGGGGTGACAGACTAAGATTTCCACCTCACAGTACAGTTTGGGTTTTGTTTTTTGTTGCTGTATTTTTTTTTGGGGGGGGTTGGTGTGTGTTTGTTTGTGTTCAGGTTGTTTATTTGTTTTTGTTTTTGTTTGTTTGTTTTTGGGGGGGC